CTAACATTCTGTGATTCTGTGAACCCATGCAGAAAAAGTCATAATTTAGCACTAGACACTTTAACATTCATTCTTGATCTGTAATGAGACTGTAGAATAGAATTTTGACTGACCTCAAGAGGAGTTGCATACCCCAAAGTTTAAAACGTGTAATGTCAAGGAAATTAAGTATATTCAGAACTTTCCTGTGCTGCTAGTGAGTCCTGGGTTATTTAAAGCTGAATCTTTAAAAGCAGGCAGAGGCATAGACAGTTGATATATATTTTCAGCTGGGTTGATGGGATGTAGGATGCAGCCAGTTAAAGTGGTTTCTTCTTTAACACATATCTTCACATGTTCATGTCCCATTGTACTGTGTGTTCCAAAAAAGCAATCTTAATCATTAATTTATTTACTTTATTTTCCACAACTATACTTGGCAGCAACAATTTTCTTAAATCTGTCACCACCCAAAGCAGGGAAGACACTTTGTTTTTATCCCCTTATGAGAGCTAGAAAGATAGATACTGTCATAAAATAAAAAGTGCTCAAAGTCAAATTTTTACGAAAGAAAAAAAATGATGAAGGAAGAATTAAGTAACAAGTTAGTTCTAAACAACGAAATCATTTCATGATCAAACTCCAAGGGCCTAACTTTAGCTTTGCCTGCATCAATCTGGACTGGTGAAAGGTTACTGTACTCTTTGGGGTATCAGGGTTTTTAAAGAAATAAACATATCCTACTAATTTTTGCTTGTTAATCAAGGCTTATATTCTAATTTTAAGCACTAATTTTTCTTCTATTTAAACAACAACAAGTAATTACACAGTTATTATATTATGTTATGTTATATTATATTATATTATATTATCTATATTATATTACCTATATTACATTATCTTATTACATTATCTATATTATAGCAAGGGCACCCCAAATATGCAATTAATGTGGTGTGGCAGTTTTAATTGCTGCAACATCTGACAAGTGTCTTGCAATGGAAATGGGTTTTGAGGGTTAAGCACTTCAAAAATAGCATATGCAACCCAGCAATAAGGCTGAGCACAAAGCCACCTAATAATAGGACAAAATAATAGGACATCAGAGGGCTGGAGCACCTCTCCTATGAAGAAAGGTTGAGGGAACTGGGCTTGTTTAGCTTGGAGAAGAGAAGGCTCCGGGGAGACCTCATTGCAGCTTTCCAGTACCTGAAGGGAGCAACAGGAGGGGGAGCAACTGTTTACAGGGGCTGATAGCGACAGGACAAGGGGGAATGGTTTTAAACTAAGAAAGGGGAGATTTAAGTTGAATATTAGGTGGAAATTTTTCCCTCAGAGGGTGGTGAGACACTGGAACAGGTTGCCCAGAGAAGTTGTGGATGCCCCATCCCCGGAGGTGTTCAAGGCCAGGCTGGATGGGCAGCCTGCTCTAGTGGTTGGCAGGGGGGTTGAAACTAGATGATCTTTAAGGTCCTTTTCAACCCTGACCATTCTATGATTCTATGATTCTATGATTCTATGATTCTATGATTCTATGATTCTATGATTCTATGATTCTATGATTCTATGATTCTATGATTCTATGATTCTATGATTCTATGATTCTATGATTCTATGATTCTATGATTCTATGATTCTATGATTCTATGACATAAAGCTGTCAGGGACATCAACCTAAGGACACACGTTGGCTCTTAAGACCATTGTGACACTTTTATTTTAACATTCCCCTTCTGTAATCTCTTTCAGGACTGACATCCTTACCTCCTGTAGGTATTGGGATTTTCCTAGGAGGACTCATAATGAAAAAGTACAAAATGGGCATCGTTGGAGCAACCAAGTTTGCATTTACCATGTCATTTGTGGCCTACTCCATCACTTTCTTGCACTTTTTTGTTGGTTGTGAGAACCATGTGGTAGCAGCAATGACAGTGTCCTATGAAGGGTGAGTATAAAATGAAGAGTATGTTTTTCTTCATTGCAGCAATAGTTCAAAAAATGTACTATGATGTCAAGGCTAAAACAGGAACAGGTTTTCGCAATGCTTAAGAGAAAGTGAACACTACCAGGTCTCATTGTGATGGTTCTGTTAGTCAACAGTATGTCAGCCTGCCAAAGCACAGCACTGGTTACAGATTAATTAGAAATACATTAGCAAAATTGCATCATTACCAATGTAGGTTGTTTGGCTGTGTGTGGCGTGGTATTGCTGTTTCACAGAGTGTTGTCTCTACACCAAAAGCCATTTTCTAGTGAAGTGTGTTCAGTAAAAGAGTGAAGCTTATGTAGCAAGGATCATTGGTAGCATCTCCTGCACAGAGATGGAAAGATTACAACATGCTAGACTCTCAGCCTACTGTAAACCAAAATGAAGTTTCTATGCCTACTGAAGATGCTCTCTCTTCTCAGGAGAGAACCAGAGTTATAGGCTGTTATTTTTGTCTTGGAGTGAGTGAAGATACCAGTACAGGAGATGTGTTCTAGGATCTAGCTGTCCAAGGGGCCCAGCAAAACACTGGCATACGGGTTGTCACTGCCTCATGTCCAGCCTGCTCAGAGTACCTCATGGCTAGAGTGCACCTGTCTGCATCTCCCTGAAGACTTACCCATAGTTCAGCAATTTGTCACTACAGTTCATTTATCAAGCCATACTGGAAAACAGCTGAACATGTGGAACTGGACAGGCAGGATGTCAAGGATGTTTATATTTGTTGGCACCTGAGGACTAATTGCTGCTTGTCCTGTACTCTGCAACATTTTCCCTAAGAATGCAAATGGTGGACCAGGGAATATGCTTAGTAAGCACCGAGATGAAAGAGGTGGAAAGCACATAATCTTAATTAACCCAGAAAGGAGAAGACAAGGGAAGACATCCCTTGTTGTTGCAGATCTCAATACCCAAAAGGATGTCTGAAAGTAGAAGGGAATACTGCATTCTCCACATCCTCTAGGAAGAGTTAGGCCAGGATTTAAGAGAGGAGTATTTTTTACTATGGGAACCAGGAAATCTAGTTTCTATCATCGTTGCATTTTTACCAACAGCTAAAGGGGTACTTGATAAGGTTGTGTTAACTGTTGCTAGCTCCACATTCAATTAGAGGATAGTCAAGCTGACCTCTCAAAGTATTTCAGCTTTCTTTTTCTTTTCTGTGTACACCTGCCAGCTGAAAACAGTAGCAACATTTTTGTTTAAAAATGTTTTATAAGCTAGTAATCACTTTAATATCAGTGCAAGTACGATGGAATCTCAAACAAACAGATAAATGCTGTAGAGCCTCAGCTATGCAAATGTACGTCCTGGGCATATGAGGTGAGTTTCAGGACAGCAACACTGTCCCACAGAAAGGATTACACTGACCTCAATACTGAATCAAAAATTTCTTACACTCTTGCACCTGTCTGAACTTATCTTTCAAGCAAACCAATTCCCTACCATGAAAATGCCCTATTTTCTGGGTGCAACTCTGACTGCAAATGTGTCTCCAATGTGTGGGATCCTGTGTGTGGAAACAATGGACTGACGTATGTTTCAGCATGTCTGGCTGGGTGCACAACTTCGGTGGGACATGGAAAGAACACAGTAAGACCCTGCTTCAGTTTCTGAGGTTTTCTACTAGCTTATTTTCCATGTGATGTCAGGGAATTACTAGTATAATGCATTTAAGGAAAACCAAAGTTACTGGGAACCAGTCAACAAAATCTTTATGATTTCTGGCTACAAAAAGCACAGAAGACAGAGATATTTCTGTGAGTTACTGCACTAATTTAGATACTAATTTTCATCTTTTGCAGATTGGACACAAGAGGGGAAACAAATAAATCAAAGAGGTTACATGTTTCCTGAAGGTTGTCCATGGCTTGCCTTTCATAAACCTCATTTTGGCTGCCCTGAGGTTTTAGCCAACAGCTGAAGTACACTATGATAGTGTAGTATCTTCCCTGATACTGATTCTTAGTGCATAAGCATGAAGAAATATTTGAGGGGAGGCAGTTTGTTTCCTTTGTGTGAGACTCTGGGATGGCAGGATACTGCTTATTTTTCTGGCTGACTGATTTCTGCTCAGCACAGAGGGCTGGGGATAACACACAGAGTCCCAGAGAGGCAGCTCCAGTCCATGGACATAAACCTTCATTTAGACTGTGTCATTCCCATGTTTTCTGATGCCAGATGACCACTCCAGAATATACATGGTCCTGAGCTGTCTCTTGCACTGAGACAGTTTTCTCTCCAACAGATTTTTCCTTGTGGCAGGTTTCTCTCTACTGTCTACAATCATCTTCTCCAAAAGACTTTGCTTAAAATCTTAAGGTTGGAGGCAGGGGAGAGGGGCTCAATAGCATCCATGACAGTGGGACTACTGCCTCCCACACCAGTCTGTCTCTGTAGAGGTTAGGGTTTGTGGCTCACAGTTCCCCTTACCTCAGCACATCCTCAGGCCTCTGAAGCCCTGGTTAAAATCTATTGCTCCTAAGCTATCAGTACACCTACTGCTGATCTCAGGGCACTGCATAAGCCGTGTCTTGACAGGTAACTGCTGCATACAGCTATGAGGTACCTCTGGTGGGTCAGCGTTAGCACAGAGGGACCTGTGATCCAGGTGCTTTTCACAGAGACAAGTCAGCTAACAGGTGGTGTCACCTAGCAGCAAAAAGCACAGCTCCTTGAGCCTTGCTCTTCCCCTTCAACTGCCTTCCAGGGACACAAGGGCTGAGGCCAGCCTCAGAGGTCCTGCAGGTATTCCAAACATTTTCCAAAAAGTGTTGCTGTGTCCACTGGCAAAAACATGCTGTCACAGAACATCCCTTCCAACTCTGAGCACTCTTCGTAGGAAAGAAAAGAAGAACCTGCTGCCCATTTCCTCAAGAAAGGCAAATAAGATAGAAACAGGATGTTTAGGAAGGCTTCATGCTTTGCCTGTGTCTGAAGGCAGGGTTTCCCATTGGACAAGCAGTGACCTACCAAATCTGCTTTGTGTCTTCCAGGTCTTCCATAACTGCAGCTGTCTTGAAGCCAGCAGTTCATGGACAGGAAATAGCTCTGCCACCTTGGGGCAATGTCCAAAAAGTGAAGATTGTTCAAAGAAGTTTATTTATTATATAGTAATACAAGTCATAACTGGCTTTTTTTCTGCACTGGGAGGCACCCCAGCATACATGATTGTGTTTAGGTAAGTAAAATTAACTGTGTACTAGAGGTCAAGGCTTTCCAATGAGGGGGTCAAAATTATG